TAGTTATGTGCCTGTGTATATTAATATACAGCTAACTGAATGCACTGAAAAAAGCTAACTGAATGCTTTATTATGTATTGTTTGTTAGCAAGATTATTCCTACAAATCTCCCTCTTTCTCATTGTGCTCAACATCCACTTGCTTCTGCTGTGCAGGCTGTCATGTTCCTGCTATTGCTCAACCCATGTTCGTGTTTCTGTTTCAGCTCAGTACTACTGCCCCAAGAGTAAGCAGATCTTCGACTTTGGCTTCAGAGTAAGTGCAGAATCTTGGCCTTTGTAATTTCTCAGATTGGTGACAAGTCCCTTTCAAGGTACAGTAGTTGATCATTTAATCACCTTTTGCTTGCACGGTTCCTTGCATTTGCTAGATGTTTGTCTAGTCAAGTTGCTTTTACGAGAGCTCATTTATTCAGCTTTGGTCTTTGCAAACTGAACTTGTAGCTGTCCCAGTTTTTCTCTGTGTTGGCCAGCAGCACCAGCAGTTACCTATTCTCGTGTGTTGGTTGATTTAGTCCTAGGAACAGCTTAAATTCAGTTAGCCCGTGCATGCATTACTTCGGCAAATTCTTGTGTGCAGGATTCATTCCTACAACAGCAGCTCAGAGTTCGGCAACAGAGCAGGCAGGCAGCAGTGCAGTTCAGTTATCGACTACAACAATTCAACAGGTAGGCAGCAGACTTTAGTTTTAGCAATGCATGCAAGGGTGCAACTATAATTTTTCTTGCCACGTTTTATGTTTATAAATAAGCAAAGAAATCTGCTACTGCTATAATGCTTGTAAACCAAACATATGCTACTGTACTGTCAGGTTGCTGACCACATACTGTAATTCTTGATTGCCATTTGATGCTGGAGTGGCCAAAGTGCCATGGTGGCTGCTGGGTACTGTGATGTGCTTTTGGACAGGTTTTAGTTATGTTGTATGAGATGTGAAGGTTGTAATGTGTTCCCAGAATATTTATGCGCTGATATGCCATGGTGGATTGCATGATGTGGTGCTTGATTTAACTTTGTATCTCATCTTATGTGATGTTATATAAACCTGAGATCTTATGTGCTGCTGGATTGAGTTCTTACGTAATTGAAAATGAGTTGTTTGTCTATATGGACTGCATGTTTTTTGTATGTGCTATAATAATGAGTTGTATGTTATATGTGCTATAATAATTGGCTGAAAAACATATTGAAAAATAGGCTGCAACAGGATGTAAATGGGCTGAAAATAGATTTAAAATGGGCTGAAAACAGATTCAAAATAGATTGATAACAGTCTTAAAAATGGTCCATCTTTGATGTTGGGCTATTAATAAATGGGCCGGAATGCCCATATCATCATCCATGTAAGCACCCATGCTTTAAATGGGTCGGCGGACCTAAAGTTGGCTAGACCCTATACTGATCGATCTAGCTCCTTACCACTATGCTGACCGTAATTCGCGCCAACCGTTTGATTTACCCTGAATCCTAGAAATAAAACGAGGACTGCGGGCACGGCCAAAAGCCTTAACTTGTGGGTGAATATAGAGGCCAAGGCAGGTTCGAGGAAGCATGCAGGAGCCCATGTTTGTGGCTGGGTGTCCACCATTTGATGGTTACTGGGCAGTGGGATCGCCTTTCGTTCCTGAGATCATTTCTTTGGACGACCACTTTCTTCTTTGTAGCAGCCAATCAGCAGGTTGGACGTTGAAGATGTAAAGCAAGAGGACAATACATATGTTTTTGTTGATTTATTAACTGAGTTTTATTGATATGCATCATATATATCTCGTTTGAAGTGCGTGGTGGTCCCTCCAATAGGTTATATACATCAGCCATCCAAATTGCACAGCAAAATACCTATGACGATGCCGATTAAATTGAGGTCAGCCATGAGCAAAATTTAGGAACGAGAGAAATTGAGTCCACTTGCCAAGATTCTTGTAGTCTAGCTAAGATGATAGGCGATTGTGTGAGTGCAAACTCTTTCTGGTATCATTCCTTCCTTGCATTTGCTTAGATTAGAAACATCTCTATATCCTATCTCTATATATCCTTACACTTTTACGGATCCCCTTTATAATTTTATCATGTATTCGGAGTTGTGACTTGGCCTTTTAGTAGATTCCTCCAATAATCTGATTTTCACTAAGTGAAAAACAATTTGTAGCAACGGGGCTTTTTTTCAGAGGGCGGTTGGCATTGGAGCAGCCCCTACAATGGCGTGCTCGGGCTCCAGCACAGCAGCCGCCTTACAAATGAAACAGTAGGGGCGGCTAGTAATACGAGCCGCCCCTACAAATGCGTCGATTTGTAGGGACGGCTGGTATGTAGAGGCGGCTATTACCAGCCGCCCCTGCTGTGTCCATTCCAGCGGACTCCATGCCCTCACACGTCCGCCCCCGGAGGCCGAGGCCCTCACGTCCCCAGTCCGCTCACTTCCCCCATCCCCTCGTCTCCCTCCCCCAGATGGAGAGCACATCGCCGCCGCCACTGCTCCTCGTCTTCCTCCTCCGCCACCGCTCCTCATCCTCCTTCGCCATCGCTCCTCATCCTCCTCCGCCATCCCACACTTCTCCGCAGCGTGGAGATCCCCTCCTCTCCTTTCCCCTCTCAGATCTAGATCTAGAAGGATGCGGAGGTGGGGCTTCCACTGCGTGACGAGAGGGGGAGGATGGAGAGGGTGCGGTAGGGCAGAATCCTCATGACGGCTCCGCGTATCTGACCGGGTTCTCCTCTGCTCCTCTCGTAGCTGCGTGGCGGACGGGGGCGAAGCCCAGGGGCGGGCTGCGGCGGCGGCACGGGGAGGAGGAGCGCGTGGCTGCTGGCGGACGGTAGCAAGCGTTGGGGCGAGGCCTTCTTCCTGCTCTACACGCCCTTCTGGCTCACTCTCTGCCTCGGTGTCATCGTCCCCCAAGTTCTTCAAGGTGCTCCTCCGTCTCATCATCTTGTGTTCATCTAGAGCCAGCCGCGTGATTCTGGGTTGGTTGTTGGCCAGTTCATCGATCGGGTTCTCGATTGGAGATCATCTTGGACGATGTGGCCACGACCACGAGATTGAGAATGGGTGAATAAACTATTTAATATATTATGTGAGTGATGTTTGTTTACTAATCATTTTCTTATGGCTTGAATTGATCTGATACTGCAACTAGAATGCTCTAGAACACATAGTTTAGTAAAATTTAATATGATTTTTTTTCAAAATTTAATGTGATTTGTTAAAGGACGTATCCATAGTTATCCGGTTCTAGGAATAAGATTATCTATCTATCTATAATTATGCAGTATCTACTTTGTTATTTCTTTGAGATGCATATCATTTTGTTTTGGTTCACAAAAAACTCTTGAAAACATGCTAACCATCACTACTTATCACTGTATACTATACTGCTGATCTCATGTCTGAACCATATAAAAACACTACCGTTCGCTGCTATAGTTCATAGGGCTGATCGTCATGCTTAGCTATGTCCAAATTTTATCTTGCAGTTCAGTTTTTGTCCATTCTTTCTTTCTTTTTTTCTTCCCGGTGGGCAGCAGAAGGCGTGGATGAACTTTAGGTAAGGTGGGTTTTGTTGGGTGCATGTGCTCATGCTGCTCATTGATGGGGAGATGGGTGCTAGCTTTTCATATCTACTATAGTCCAGGGTGGTGGTTTTGAGAGTTCATTTTTCATGTCAGAGGCCCCATCTTTTCAGTTACATTACATACCCTAGTATCCTCTGTTTGCATGGTGTTCAATATATTTGTAAGGTGGTAGAAATAGTTCGCCCTAGATCACTAGGTGGAAGCAAGTACACTGACTCCTGGTTATTCAATTGTTAGACTGGTTCCCATGATTTTCTTATTTATTTACAGCTAGTGGTCACATGGACATCACATGGACAGATAGATTTACTGTTCTACTAGGTTTCATCTGTTCACCCCAAATGATTTATGCTGAAACTCGTACATGCATTCTCAACGTCATTCAATGCAACACTGTTCAGTGTTTATTAATCAAATGTAACGTCTCCAGCTCCTCGTAATCTGTTTGTATTTCTTTGTTGATCTCTCAGGAGTGCAAACAAGTGGAGAAGGATAGCCCTTACTGTGATTTCCACTACAACACAAGGCGTGCTCGGCCATCAATTGTACATTTTCAGGTCTGATTTTCCTCTGTTGCATGACAGTCCAACTTTTTGAGCAAAGTTATCATCAAGCGTGTTGTTTACGGGTTTGTTTATTTTTTGAGCAAAGTTATCATCAAGCATGTTGTTTACGGGTCTTACTATCATTTAATCAAGCATGGTGTTTAAGCTAGTTGTCTAAAGGGATGACTAAATTTAGTCATCCCTTTAGACAACTAGCTTAAACACCTTTATCAGCTTATTTGTTAATTAGCACCAGTCACTGATGCACTCATATTCTTTCTTCGTGAATGATAATCTGACGGGCCGGGATCACGCATGCTTCTGAGAATCTTTCTGTTAAATGAGAATTGTGGGTTACATTGTTTTCTTTTTTCATCCAGCATGGAACAGAAGGAGAGATAGGACGGCCATATGCTGGCTTTAATCATCTTAGTGCTTGACTGACTTGTAGTACGCCTTAGTGCTATTCTGCAAAGCTATCCAGTATGGAACAGAAGGAGAGATAGGACGGCCATATTTTGGCTTCAATCTTTACACGCACGCCTGCGTCCTTCTTTTTGTCGAGATTTTAGTCCATTTTCCCTCTCAATCATATGAGATCGTTTACTCCCTCCATTCAAAAATATGTAATTCTATAACAGTGTCATATGAAAGTATATCAAGTTTGACTAAATTTATATAAAAAATACTAATAGTTATTGTACCCAATAGGTACCATTAGATTCATAATTAAATATATTTTTTATAGTATACTTATCTGATGTCATAAGTATTAATATTTTTATATATATCAAATTTTAGGCATGCACTTTAACTCTAGAATTGTATTCTTTTCGAGACACCGATGGGGTAGTAATTTCTAACCGGGCTGTTACTGTGTCAAACATGCCCTTATTAAGAGAAGGTACTAGGTAGGTGGGTTGTTGCATTGCGTTACCTCTCTTTCTCCCTCTCTCTATATATATGCTGAAGGCTGAAACTGAAGGTGTCTAGCTTGAACACTTCAGAGAGTGCAACTACTAGCTAGTTAGCTAGTCATGGGCAGCTAGCATACTAGCATAGTCGAGAGACGCTGGCAGAAAAATTAACCCGTTGTCACAAACAAACGGTGGATCTCGTACAATTCACTCGTGGACAAATGGAGGATCATCAACGAGGTGCCAACAGAATTTCTTGTTTTACCTTATTATTACTATATTATTATAGTTTTGTCTTTTATATATACGTAAATCTCTGTGTGTGTGTGTTTGGAAACTATATATGTTTGTAATAATCAAGGTGCTAATAATAATCACATTCTCTGAATAGTACTTATTATTTGATTGATGAAGGTCAATCTAGCGGCGGTTCCCATGTTTCTGTCGAGATTGATGTCACTCCCTGGGCCCAAGAGTTGAGAGAGCGGCATGAACACCTGACATCTAGACTCGGTGGTGGATCTTCTACACCATGCCCCATCACCATCGGCATGGTCGAACACCTGACCCGCAACGTGGACCCTCAAGAGTACGACCCCCATCACGTCTCCATTGGACCTTACCACCGGACAAAGCACCCGCGCCTTGCGAGGGAGGACGAGAAGCTCCTATGCTTCCATGCCGTCCGATCGGCAGCGACACGCGACGACGTGACGGAGGAGGTGCTCCTGAAAGAGGTGTGGCTCTTGGAGGATCGCGCGAGAAGCTGCTACGCCGACCCGATTCAAATGGAAACCAAGGAGTTCGTGCACATGCTGCTGCTCGACGCCTGCTACGTCCTCGCCCGGTTCACTGACATCGTCGGCGACGACGAAGGGACGACCGTTGCCGTTGCCAATGGACAAGTGGAGGGGGAGTGCCACACAAGTAGCGCGGCCTTGGCCTCGGCGCCGGCGGTGCCGACGGCGGGGGGTGACGACAGTGACAGTCTGCAGGACGTCAAGGTGGTGCGCGATGTCTTGTACCTCGCAGAGAATCAAATACCATTCTTCGTTGTTGCCAAGGTCCACGAGCTCATCACTGGGGGAAGCGGCACTTGTGCAGTAGGCACCTTCTTGGGGTATGTTGGGGACCTCCTCAAAAAGCAGCAGTACTCCATGGCGACGCCGGAGGTAACCGCTCTTTCTGATTCTGATGTCGGCAATCTTCTGCACCTGCTGCACATGCACTTGAAGCCCACCGGTGACGGAGACGGACCCAAAACCATCGGCGGCGGCCAGCGGGTGGGTCGTTGGCGTTCGGCCACCGACTACCACTACGCAGGAGTGAGGTTCAAGAGCCGGCCTGTCGGAGCCGACGCAGCCCAATGCATCCTGGACGTGAAGCTGGACAGCGGCGGCGGGACACTGCTTGTTCCGCGCCTGACGCTCGACGCCCGGACGCTGGGGCTCCTGCGCAACCTCATGGGGATGGAGCAGCGTAACCCGGCCAAGGGTAGCTACCTGACGGCGTACTGCGTCTTCATGTGGCAGGTGGCATGCACGGCAAGGACGTTGAGTTCCTGTGGAGGAGAGGGATCATCGTACACAGTCTAGGCAACCATGCCGAGGTCGCTGACTATTTCACAAACCTCTGCAAGGGGATCGTCTTCAAGCTAGACGACCCCAGCAGAAACTACCTGTTAGCAACTTGCGAGGCGCTGGAGAAGCGCTCCAGGAGCCACCCGCGCCGGTGGATGGCGTGGCTGCGGCGGAAGTACTTCAGCAATCCATGGCTTACCACTGGGCTCGCCGTGGCAGCCGTCGTGCTGTTCTGTACCGTGGTGCAAGCAGTATATTCCTTTTTGAGTTACAAACAAGGAGCGAACCAAAAACACTAGTTAAATCTGACGATGAAGTACGGAGAGTCGATCTGCTGTAGTCTCTGGTCGTTGTTACTCCCTCTCTGTTCCAAATTATAAGTCGTTTTGATTTTTTTGTTTATCCATTTTGCTATATATCTAGGTATAATATTATATCTAAATACATAACAAAATGGATGTACCAAAAAAGTCAAATCAACTTATAATTTAAAACGGAGGGAGTACTGTTTTTTTTTTTAAAAAAACAAGATCCGGATTTGTTTTCCAGCGTGTATCCTTTTGTTTTAAGTAAGGTGCGGAGTGTTTGTATCTTGTAATTATGCGTGGGGTTGACACCTAAAATTGGCTAAAGTGCATATATGAAACAAAAAACATAACGGGCTCCACCATCATGTTCCTATCGCCGACGTAATCGAAAAGCATATATGGATCATCCCATATGGAGTCTGGATCAATAAAACAAGTTTTCAAGGGAGGGGGGGCCGAATTTTTCAACTTCTCCAAATTGAAGAATGGATTGTACAATTGCATTTTTCTCATCGAGCTGAAAAAAAACATATATAGATCGTCTCATTTGGTGTCCAAATGAATTAATTATGATTTTTAGAAGTTTTTTTTACCCTGGACACAAAAAAACCCAGCTAGGCCAGTTTCTCGGTCATTATTAACTTTTACTTGATGTAAACTCGTCCAATGTCATGAAAAACTTTTAGGTGTTGTTTGCAAAAGCTTTCCTACTCGCATAAGACCACCCCATCTGTATATATTAGAGGATCATAGGCGATTGAGATATATTTTGGATTCTGTTTCTTGCAGTGGCCTAAGGACCCAAATATTAGTGAAAGAGAAATGGACGATGACGAACTAATGGAGATCATTGGGGACCTATGCAAGTTTATCAGCGACCAAATAATACATATATAAGAACTGCGATTTCGATGACCTGGCCCGGCGTCTGCGCTATGCCGTCAAAAAGATTGTAGACGTCTTTAAGAGTGGGAAGGTTTAATATTAGGTCATTAATAACATTGCGGATACAATGAAACATTATAATGTGGTGTACGGTCTGATGTATGAACATGTGTGTGTATATAGGTTATATTAAGTTAGACGACATATTTACAATGATGTATACTGTTTGTTTTGTGAGCATAGTAGTCACAAACACAATTTGAATTTTGGTATGAAAATTTTTAGAAATTCAAAGGATGATATTAGGTCATTAATAACATTACCAGAGGCGGCTTGAAAGAACAGATGGCTTTCCAAATATATTTATAGAGGTGGTTGTTCTTTCCGGCCACTTCTGGTAAACTTATTTATAGAGGCATCTGTTGATCCCACCCGCCTCTGGAAATACATTTATAGAGGCGGCTCTAATTCCCAGCCGCCTCTATAAATCTCATTTCTCAAGGCGGCTAGGCGCCTCTATAAGATTTGTAGAGACGGAAGAGGAAAGATCGTCTCTATAGAGACATCCCAGCTGCCTCAACTTCGGGACTATAATCCTTTTGCCAAAAAGTAAAGATGCAAGCAAAATTCAGCAATGCAAACCGATATGTTTGCTTAATGTTAGCTTTAAAATCTTTACCAAAGTGGTTACCAAGAGAATCATAAAAATTGCAGATAAAATAATTAGGCCATCCTAGACGCCCTTCATACCTGGTGGAAATATTATGGAGGGGGCAGTGATTCTCCATGAGACGCTACACGAACTCCACACTCGGAAAAAAGATGGAGTGATGTTTAAGATCGATTTTGAGAAGGCCTATGACAAAGTAAATTGGAACTTTTTGCAACAGGCCCTTAGACTAAAAAGTTTTCATCCGACTTGGTGTGAATGGATTAAGATGGTGGTTCAAGAAGGAAATGTAGGAATTAAAACAAATGATCATATGGGACCTTACTTCGAGAGCAAGAAAGGCCTCAGGCAAGGAGACCCTTTTATCTCCAACCCTGTTCAACATAGTGGCAGACATGTTGGCAATTATTTTAAATAGGGCCAAACAGGAGGGTCTTATTAGGGGAATAATCCCACATCTAATAGATGATGGACTATCAATCTTGCAGTATGCTGATGATACAGTTATTTTTTTAGAACACGACATCGACTTAGCAAAGAATATGAAATTGTTACTTTGTGTCTTTGAACAACTGTCTGGTCTAAAAATCAACTATCACAAAAGTGACATCTCCTGTTTTGGGCAGGCTAGAGAGTGTGAGGAACAATACTCGCAACTCTTTGGTTGCAAACTAAGACAACTCCCCTTTAAGTACTTAGGCATCCCAATGCATGTTAGAAGACTATCGAATAAAGACTGCAAAGTGATACAAGATAGAATGGAGAAAAAATTAAGCAGCTGGAAGGGTAAATTGTTGTCAGCCGGGGGTCGTTTAGTCCTGATAAATTCTATTTTATCTAGTCTACCAATGTTTATGATGTCTTTTTTTGAGATCTCTAGGGGTGTTCTAAAAAAAGATTGAATGCTTCAGATCTAGATTTTTTTTGGTAATATGATCGGGAAAAAAAGAAGTATAGGTTAGTCAAATGACCTATTCTCTGCCAGCCAAAAGACCAAGGTGGAATGGGAATTATGAATTTACAGCTGCAAAATAGGTGTCTGTTGAGTTAATGGTTGTTTAAGTTATGTAATGAAGAAGGCATGTGGTAGGATTTGATTAAAAACAAATACCTAAAAAATAAAACGTTGAGCCAAGTTGAAAAGAAAGCAGGGGTTCCCCATTTTTGGGCTAGCCTTATGGGTGTCAAAGATCAGTTCATAAACCTAGGTCGGTTTAGATTAAATAATGAAACTCAAATCAAGCTTTGGGAAGACAAGTGGTTGGGACACTAGGCATTTAAAACCCAATATCCAAACCTATACAATGTGGTGCGCAAAAAACAGGCAACGGTAGCCAAGGTTCTGCAAACTGCTCCTCTAAATGTGTTCTTCAGAAGGCCTTTGGTGGGAACAAAATTAACAGAATGGCAAAGCCTAGTTGCTAGTATTGTGCATGTTACGCTCAACAATATGCCAGATAGGTTTGTTTGGGGTTTACATAAAAATGGGTCCTTTTCGGTGAATTCTATGTATAAGTTCTTTGTCAGCAGTGGTTTGAAAGTCACGCAGGAGATATGGCAAATGAAGATACCCCTAAAAACAAAATCTTCGTGTGATTCCTGAAAAGGGGGGTAATTTTAACAAAGGATAATCTAGCAAGAAGGAATTGAAATGGTAGTAAAGTTTGTTGTTTTGTAATAAACTTGAAACCATCCAACATCTTTTCTTTGATTGTTATTATACTCGTTTTCTCTGGCGTGCAGTTCATTGGGTGTTTGGTATTACCTCTCCAACAAGCGTATCTCACTTGTTTCAGGAATGGTCAAAATTGGGCCGCCGCAAACACAATTTACTTGTTTTGACAGGAGCATCGGCCCTGTGCTGGGCAATCCGGCTCACAAGAAATGATTTTGTTTTTAACAAAAGCCAAAAACAAACTTTTTTGCAGGTACTGTTCCGGGGGACATATGAGCACAAAACTTCCATTGTGGAGACATACAGGCTTTTAGAGTCTAGTGCCATGTTTGTGTTTGCTTCTCATGGGTGGAGCTTCTCTTATCGCCTTGGACATTAGGATTGGTACCCTGGTTTTATTTTAAGTGTGGGTTTATAATAATTGGTCTGATTCTTCGATGAAGCCGGAACTTTTGTTTCCATTATTAAAAAAAAAGTAATGTCAAGTGCCTTGGCTGAAACAATGACACCTATACGGTGTGCCTCTTTTTCTCTCCACTGGACTGTCCGATGCAGGTCTGTTTTGGCCTCAGCACACTCTGAGTCACTGCTGCAAGTTTGTCCGGTGAGTTTATTTTTGCTTGAGCGGACTGTCTAGTGTGTGAATTTTGGCTTGGCTTTTGTGCAGCCTCAGTCCAGCTGCGTCTGACCTATTTTTGTTTGTGTTTCACTCTCTCTTGGGTTGCATCCGTGATTTTTTGTGGTGCTTCAGGTTGAATTTGAGTATAGGGCAAGTTCTTTCTCAAGAAGAGAAATTTTTATTGGCTCCTACTCAACCTCCTTTGCTCATATTTTCGATCCTTCACGGATACATAAACCGGTAGTGTTTAGACGAGCCTCATCACTACAAATTGCCCGTTGCCAGGTCTAATCAATTCGGACAGTGATGCTGAATTTAGACTCAGCAATGACCCATTGATCTCGAGTAGTGTGTGGATAGTTTCTACGTAGAGATCGCTATGCTAGTGGGGTTTTAACCCTTTTTTATTTTATAAGATATATATGGATTTGCTAGTCTCGTGCAGTGCGATTTTTTTATGGAATCCAATGACTGAATATTTAGCATATATACAAGCCATAAAGTGGATAAAGTGGAATCTATGTAGCTTCAAGGAAACATGCACCAGTAGAGAACAGACCTTTGATGCTCGGTTAAAATGGGCTCTAGTCCCGGCATTTTTTACGCCCGGGACTAGAGATACCTTTAGTCCTGGTTGGTGGCTCCAACCGGGACTAAAGGTCCCTGCCCAACGGCTACTGCGCCAGAGAGAGGTGGCAGGGACCTTTAATTCCGGTTGGAGCCACCAACCAGGACTAAAGGTATACTTTTACTCCCGGTTGGTGGCTCCAACCGGGAGTAAAGGTCTACTCCCGGGTCGTGGCTGCGCCCGAGGTTGAAAAGTTACCTTTAGTCCCGGTTGGATCCACCAACCGGGACTAAAGGTCCCCCTTTATATCCCGGCCGTCTCCTTCTTCCTCCCCCGAGCCCGAGCTCAGCACATTTTGAAGCTCACTGCACTAATGTTCTTGCTTCCTCCCTCCCTCCATTTTTCCTCCATCCATTCTTCGATTTCTCCGTCGATTCTTCAGTTGTAAAGGTTACCAATCTCATATTCTCATTTTTCACCATTGTCTTATCTCATTTTGTTCACTATATATATATATGGTTCTTTATTGTGGTTTTTTTCATTTGTAAGCAATTTGAGCTCAAAATCACTTCAA